GCCCTCTAAGACCAAGTCCAGCATTTTCCCCAGCACTGCCAAAGCCACCACTAAACCATGTCCCCCAGTGTTATATCCACGTCTTTTGAACATGGTTGAGGGATCATGACTCCACCACTGCCCTGGGCAGCTTGTGCCAGTACCTAGCCACCCTTCCGGTGAAGAAATTTCCACCAATATCCAACCTGAACCTCTCCTGGTACAACTTGAGGGCATTTCCTCTTCTCCCAACACAAGGGATTACAGAATGGTTTGGGTTGGAAGGGACTTTTAAGGGCCAGCAAGTCCAGTCCTCCGTCATGGGGCAGGGACACCTTCCACTCCATCATGTAGGGCCAGAAAGACTATGGCCACTATCCCCACCGTGTCTCCCCCAGCCCCTGGGTCAGATGCATATGGACAGGAGGGGACAGAGAGCTCCCAGCTGTGCTCTTCCCCTCCTCAAAGCCCTCTCTGCTCCATCCCTTCATCTCAGAACATTTTATTTGTGAAGACAAAAAGGCAAGGAACAAACACAGCCACTGAAAAACATGTACAGCAGGAGACTGCAATAACTTACACTATTTACAGGAACACACCGAGGTATAAAACACACCTTGTCCTTTGACAAACCCAGACCAGGCCTGGGCTGCATGACCCCACACAGACACCAGCCCGCACAGGAACTGGCCCCTGGAAACAGCTCCAAGTGAGAAAAGGCACCTGCTATTGTGCTCCTTGTGCAGTGGGAAGGGGTGACGGAGCAGGTGATGTGGTGCAGCAGCTGCCCCAGCCCTGTGCGGGGCCGGACTGGGGGGTCCCAGGTGGTCCCAGGCCAGGTGGGACAGTTGGCAGGAATCAGGGCAGAGCTGTGATGAATGAAGGGACAAGCCCCAGGGCAGGAGGAAGGCGTGGGGCTGTGCTTTTCTGGGGGATCAGGCCTGTGCTGGGCTACCTCCCAGTTAGTTACTGATGGAGCACCATGTGGCACGTGGAGGGGCAGGGGGTCCCCTTCCCTCCCCAGGAGGGTGAAGGGGGCTCAGATGTGCAGCTCGCAGGACACAGCAAATCTCCTGTGAGCCTGCTGAAAAGCAAGTTGTAACTCTGTGCTCCGCAGGGATCGTACCTGGACCCTGACCACCATGGGGCAGGGGAAGGACTGGGATGGGGTACTGAAAGAGCAGTGGCTCTGCAGCACCAAGGCAGGAGGCAGCATCTGAGACCCCAAAGCAGCTGTGCTCAGAGGTGGTGGGGAGGAACAACGTACCTGGGGGGACAGGATGGGACCCTGGAGCTCCCACTCCTTGCAGCTGGTCAGCCCATCCTGTGCCACGGGAGTTGTGGGTGCCAGGGAGGGACAGTGCCCAGGCTCCCAGAGGGGCTCACAGTGCTTTGGGAGTCAAGTGTTTTTTGGCTCCTGAGTCTTCTCCACCCCTATTGTGCAAAGCTCAGCTGTGGAGGAACCCTGCACCCTCTGCAGAGCCTGGAGCTGGCCCTTGTGGTCTGGGGAGAGGAGACCCCCTGAGCAAGAATCAGGCCTCAGGGACAGAAGTGTATCATGCCAGTTCAAGGAAGGAATGCAGGTATGACCACAGCCTTGGCACAAACCAAGGCACTCAAGGGCAAAGCAAAAGGAGGTGCATCGTACAAAGGCAGCTCCAAACTGTCCCTGCCCTGCAGGGGCTGGCAGAGGGGCTCAGAGACCCTCAGAGGAGACTTCAGCTGTGCAGCAGGGCAAACCCTGAGCCTCAGGGAACAGCCAGCAGAGGGATGGAACAGCTCACCCATGGCTCACCCCAGCCCACCTTCTCCTCGGCTGTCCCACCACCCCAGTGTAAGCTCTGAAAGGCCAGAGTGGCCACCCCTCCTAGACCCATTTGCATGTGGGGACCTTGTGCTTTAGTGTTTGGGGGGACCTGCTCCCCCCGAAACTGACAGTGTGGCTCAGAGCTTCCCAAGCCCTACTGTGCCAGGGGAGCAGGGTCCAGCCCAGGTCAGCTCCCCAGCCTCAAGCTAGGGGCTCTAGGGCTACCCTGGTTTATGTTCAGTGCTTGGGACAGGATCTAGACTCAACTATGCTTTGGGGATGAAAAAATCAAGTGTCACACACAAGAACCAGCTTCTCAAAGACCACCTCCAGCCTGAGCAGAGGCTGCCCCCCAGCTGCAGCAGGCTCTGGAAAATGGGGGCTAGGACCAGCCCATTCCAGTGATGTGCTTGCACAGACATTTCCCAGACAAGGACATCACTGCATCCACAGAGAATATCCATGAGAGCAGAGGCAGGAATACAGGCTGATCTGAGCAGGAGGAGGCAAGAAGAGGGACACAGGGGTGGCTCAGACATACAGCAAGGTGGGAGAGAGGCCACGTGTCCCCAGGATGAATTCAAGTGTCAAAACCACAACAATAACAATAATTAAGAGGGGAAAAAAATCTTACAGCACAAACTCCCCACCCCATCCCTAATATGAAACCCAATGACAACAGCACCCAGCTTGCATGGTGAGGTAGGTAAACCAGATCAACATCCAAGAAACATGCTCTTGCAGGGGAAATACCAACCCACAGGGGTACTAAGATACACACACACACACACAGACACACAGAGCTATGGGATCACAGACACCCTTCATTTCGAAGACCCCCACCTTGGGACGCAAGTGCTGCAGTACCACCTCCCTCCCTGTGCAGGCTGCAGAAACCTTGAAGCCTCTCAGCATACTGCTGGATGTAGCAGGGAAGGATGCTCAGCATCATCCAGGACTGGCCACTCAGCCCTCGAATACTGAACAGGCACCTGCAGCCTGCACACAGGAAGAAACTGGTGGTGAAAGGCAAGGGAGGTCCAATCTCAGGCCCTCCAGAGCCCCCTGCACCAATGGCAGCAGGGAGCAGCAGATTTCAGGGCAGGCACTGGCAGATCTCAGTGCAGACATCAGTGCACAAGGGACATCTGGCTACAGCCAAACACCCCTACCATAGCGACCCCCATACAAACACACCCTCTGGCCAAGCAAAGGTTAAACTAGTTGAGGAATGAGTGGGAAAACCCTCTCCAAGACAGCCTTGGGGTGAATGACACCTCCTCTAGACTCCATGTCTGTGTGCTACTGGGCCAGTGAGGTGCCCCATGCATTTTTGGCTGCCCCCAATCCCACAGGGCACAGAGGATGGATGGGCTCTGCACCTCAATACAGTTACTGGTCCTGGCTGTGCAGGGCTTGGTCACGACCACAGGGGACCAGTGACTGTCCTGGGCAGGGTCACACATACGCCATACACCCTCCACCAAGGCAAGCCAGTAGGATGGACTTTTCCCCCCAAAATAGCAAACACCCCCCCCGCATCAAATCAATAGTTAGTCCTGTCTCTCATGACAGAGAGGAATCCCTACACTCCAGCTAGGATATTTAGTACAAGGGCTGACGGCAAATGACCTGGGGCTGGTCCAGGTGTCACCATGGTTGCTGAGAGCAGAGAGGAAACAGTCTGTGCTTTACAGGGCAGGTCCTGGAGCCCCTGGCCCCCCGGCTCAGCGCTGATGGGATCACATGGAGAAATCCTTAAATTTGAGTTCAAGTCCTGCGTCTTCTGCGACAGAGGGGAAGGGAGAGCATGTGAGGCAAGGACACCCATCCTGGGGTCTCCTTGGCCATCCCATGAGAGCCCTGCATGGCCCAGGGCTGGACAGAAGGGGATAGTCCAACAGGCCACAGGGGAGACAGAGGAAAGATCCAGTGTTAGACTAGGGCCTTGCCAGCCCCTTGCACAGGAGAGGGAGGAAGGAGCCTGGAGAAGGCGAGTCCTTGGGGAAACATTCCTAAATGGAGCCCACAGCCTCTCACAGAGATGAGACTGTGTAAGATTGTCCTTTGAGCATGGGGGGAATCAGGGGAATTGTGCGAGACCAGTGTGTGCAACCACCTCCTCACCCTACTCCATGCCTTGCTGGGCTCTCTCCAGGATCTGCCCAGATCCACAGGGGCTGGCAGCCCAACCTAAGCTAGCCCCAACCCAGGCAGAGGGCCAAGGGCAGAGCCTGGGGCAAGGGAAGGACAGACAGCTTGCAGCTCCCAGGGATGGCAAAACAAGATGGGCCAGAGCAGCAAGGATGTCAAATACAGCCTTGGCCTTTTTGCCCTGTAACCTCCATTCTTGGTTCATTTCTCCAACTCAAGGAGGTTAATGTCCTGCAGGAACCCACCACAAACCGTTGCTGAGAGCCAGTGTCCAGAGCAGAGCTAAACAGCCCTTCCCTTCCCGTTGCAGAGCCAAATGGGCACGTGGGACAGCCCAGAGCCATGTCAAGTTCAACATGTTTTTTAAGCTATAAACCCAGTTTCCAATGGGTTTGGAGAACACTGAAGGGAACTGCAGCAGGTTTGTCTGGAATTTGACTGACAGAGATCTTCCCAAGCTTGTTGTACCTCCCAAGATGGCACATGGCAAACAAGCTCAGAGGTGCACACCTCCAAGGGCTGGGGACAGGTAGACAGAGGATGGAGAAGGATGGGAGTACCTGGAAATCCTTCTGCAACCCCCCAAGTAAGCAATCCTCTGTGCTGTGGTCCTGACCACCAGACACCAAATGTCCTTGAGGCTGTGGAGAAAGATTCCTGCAGGAACCAGCTCCAGGGCAGCATATCACCATGGAGGCCACATGAGCCCACGGGGGCAGGAAGGAACTGGGTGTCTCTGAGAAGTTGCCAAGGAGCTCTGACCCCCAGAAGTTCTTACAACAGTGCGGGTGAGAAGAGAGACAAAACATTTCCTGGTCAGTGGAAAACCATCAAGAAACCTCAGCAGGAGGGAAGGTAGAGCTGGTGCACCACGGAGCTGCCTCTTCACAGGACCTGGCAGCATTCAAAGTACCAGATGCGGCATCGTTTATCCCGCTGGGTCAGGCACAAAGAAATCCCTGTCCTGGGCTGAGCTCCTGTAGATGACCAAGTCCTGACGGCAGGGAAAGGCACCCCGACCTTCGCCCTCCTCCCACGCCTTCCAGTCTTTTTGCAGTTCCTAGTTCGACCCCGCGGGCAACCTCCTCCCACTCCAGAGCTTCACTGTCAAGTCGCTGAGGAACAAAGGTGAGAGGGACGGCATGACCCTGGGGTCAGGGAAGGAGACCTGCACACACTGGACAGAGGCACCGCGAGGGGACACCGCCCCCCCCCAGCATGGCAGCATGCAGCCCACAGAGCTTCCAGGCCCTCTTCCCTTGGCAGGAGGCTGCCCGATGCATTCTGGGGAGCAGGCAGGCCCAGTGGGGCTCAGCCTCCAGCTCACTCTACTGGCAGCAGCTGGGGACGATGGAAAATAGTGACCTCCAGGGCTGACCCCACACCAGGACTCCTGCCCCCCTCAAATGAGCTCTGACTAGGTCCCAGCAGTGACACCCAGGGAGCTGCTCTGTCCCCCCAGGGCATGGGAGGATTTGGGAGTGGCTGTTGACTCCCACCCCGCTATCCATGCAAAGGTGTGGGCAGACCACAACTTCCATGGAGTTGCCACAGTAGACATGGGCTCTTGGCAAGGAAGAAAACCCAAAAAGCGAACAAAACCAAGGCAGGGGTATGGCTGGGACAAGGGGGCAAGTCTCTTCTAGCAAAAGCTTTATCAAGTGGGGAAAAACGCAAAATAGTTTCATACCGTGAAGAAGCAGCTCAGACCAGAGAGAAAGAGGAAAAAAGAGAGAAGCAAAAGCAACAGTGAAAGGGACAGAGGGAGGGGGAGCTGGAGAGAAAAGGGAAGGAGAGACAGAAGAGTGCATGAGCAAGAGAGTCAAAGAGCAGGAGGGTCAAGGCAGACTAGTAGCACGGCCCTTTATGGCAAGGACGCGTCGTGGAAGGCAAGGGGTGAGCCCAGGCACGTAATTCCATAACTTTACCCGGCAGTCGCTGTGGCACAGATGGGAGGTGGAGAGGAGGAGAGACAGAGAGAGACAGAGAAAAAGAAAGGGAGAAAAGGGACATGGTCGAAAAGAGGGTATCAGAGTCTTGCTGCCAAAGAGCTCCCCAAGAGCAGCAGAGGATGCCCAGACCCAGGGGAGAGGGGTCCCTGTGGGGGGGGATAACGCAGGGCATCACCAGAGCATGGGCAGGGGACAGCTGGGGACAGCTCTTGGCACTGCAGTGGGCAGGCTATGGTGGGCAAGAGGACATAAAGGAGCAGAGGTACTAGAAAGCTGTGACTCCCCCCTTCCCTCCCTCCCTGCTCCTTGTTCATCCAGCACACACCCACCCTCCGGGAAGCTGTGGGGGCAGAAAGCTTGGGGCTCACCTGGAGGCAGTAAAGATGTGCTTTGAGTTGGTGCAGATGGCGTTGATGGGGCTATCATGCCCCTTGATCTCCCCAACAGGGGTGAAGGTGTCCACATTCCAGACTTTGATGACGCCTCCTCGGCAGGCACTCAGCACCATGGGGCGGCCAGGGATGAAGGCCAGGGCACAGACCCAGTCTTTGTGGGCATTGGGGATTTGCTGTATGGGCAGAGAGCAGAGGCTGTGACCAACCTTATCTGCAGCATCACCAGCAGCCTAACGTACCCAGCCTGCGTGACTGGGTCCTCACTGTCTCAGGTCCTCACTGGTGCCCCAGGGCTGACTGGGATCATGGGACTGGTGATGTTCAGTTAGGAGCCAAGGGAATGGACTCAAAAGTCAGGGCTTGGTTTGTCTCCTGGGCAGGAGACATCGGTCCTGAATTCAGAGTGGAACACAACCCCCTGCACTGCCACTGATGTTACAGCCTGTCTGCTGGGAAGCTGGGAATCCTGAATGTCCCACAGCACAAACTATGGGGGTACAGCACGCCCGCACGGCCCAGGCCCAGGAGGGCCCTCCCTGGTAAGCTCTGTGCAGTACACTGGCACTAGGTCCCTGGACAAGGGTCCTCCCAGGCCCCAGCAGCAGCACCCTCTGCCCCACGTCACCGCAGGACCCGTGCTGTGCTCCTGCTCCCCTCCAGACCTGGATAAGTTCCTGCTGCTCCAGATCCCACTTCTTTATGCCATTGTCCCTGGAGCCGCTGAAGAGAACATCTCCCTGGATGGCCAGGCACTCGATGCCATCATAGTGAGGGGGCTCGAAGTTGTGAGTGGGGCCAATATTGCCCACCATGCCCTCCGTGATCTCGAACATCTGGGGAAGAGCAGCGTGTGAGAGACCTCACTGGGGACAGAGCTAGCCCTCCTCTCCTGTGGAGCTTGTCCACCACCCTCAGTGTTCTTGGCTCAGGGCACTCAGAGTGATGCTGGAAAGGGGAGGGAGCATTGGACATTGGAGGGTTTTTGGGGCTGAGAGTCCTGCCATCACCAGAGGAGATCTGTCACTAAGGACAGTCCCACTCTGTTGCATTTCACTCCTAGTGAGCCTTTACACCTGCCACGAGCCAAGCTAACAGCTGGGTGGGATCATGTCTCACTCACCATCTCACCATCCCTTCTCAATTCCCAGGTGCCAACTCTAATTCAACCTGCTAAAAGCTGAAAGTAAGGGACAGGCTCCTGCTGTGCTGGAGCTGTGACCGAGTGGGCACAAGGCATCTGGATTGGGGGGGAGAATCAAGCAGAACAGGGCAAGCTGTTCATCTGGGTCAGCCATCACATGCAAGTCCCAGCCACAAAGTTCAAGATAAATGCAAATCCTTCTCTGAAGGTGCATTGTGGACCAAGCAAAAGGCAAGATTTGGGAAGAGGAGGTAAGTGAAAACCTCATATGCAGAGGTGCAAACAGAATCTGGGCTCAGCTTTCGGGAGAGAAGAGACCTCAAGGGTTGCCAGCATCTGGGCTTCCCTAGGGGACACAGGGCACTGCTCCCTAGGGAGTAAAGTACCTTAACGTAGTGATCTTTGGAGCCTGTGACCACCAGGTCGTGGTTGCTTGCTGTCTGGTTCACTGTGAGACACATCACTGGCCCGATGTGGCCACTCAGCTTCCCCACGGGCTGCAACCTGGGTTCAAGGGGACACATCAGCTCCCTCCTGCCTGCTGGAGCAACTCCAAGGGCCACTTCTAGGAAGAGACCCACCCCCTGCCCTGGAGCCCCTCAGTAGGGGTTGTTCCCTTTGGGAGATTGTGGGCAGGGAGACTCCATTCCCAGTGATGCTGGGGAAAGAAGGCAGCCTCAGGGTGTGCCAACATCTGGCTACAGCAATTCTGTAGCACAGGGCTGCAGACCAGTGTCCACCGGGCAGCTAGGGGAACAAGGGTAAAACCAGGGGGCACTGCCACTCATCCCACTTGTCTTTCATTTTCTCCTAAGCTCTGCCCAGCTCAGAGACAAACCCCCCATGCCAAGTAGCTCCAATGCTGCTCATCAACCCTTGGGTCCTGAAAGTCCTTATTCAGGCAATTTCCATTGCTAAGAAGGCTTTCACTTTCCCTGGAGGAGTCATTTCAGGCCCCTCTGAGCAGCCAGGGTCCATCTGGCAGCTGTGAGCTGTCCTGCCCACCCCAGCACTCCCATCACCTGCTCAGCTCCCAGACGCGGACGGAGTTCCCAGCAGCAGCGTAGAGCGTGGTGCCCGTGGGGTTGAGTGCGATCTGGTTGATCTGGTGCTCCCCCTGCACACTGGTGACAGTGCGGGTGGTGGTCCCAGCACATGCATCTCCAGAGATCACCTGTCCAGAAGATCTAAGGGAGAGAGAGGTCAGGAAGGAGGATGAGTGGAGACCAAGCCCACTGCGAATGGCAGGGGGCTGCTGGCTCCACGCTGGCTCAGATGGGTCCCGCACCAGGGAAGGGCCTTGGAAGTACTCCGGTCTCTCTGACCACAATGGGACCAACAAGACCAGTGCTCAGCTGGCAGAAGCAGCCAAAGATGTCAGGTCTGTGCATGACACAGAGCAACCTGCCCTGGCTTCCATCTGGGGGCCACTCTGCTCTCCTCTCATTCCTCTCTGCTTCCCAAAGGAAGAGCTGGTGAGTGCTGGCAGCCAGCACAGGGAAGCAGAGGTCTTGGGCTCTGCACCAAGGGAAAAGCATCTTCAGGCCAAGGCAAATGAGCTGAGGCTGGATGGCGAAAGGAGCTCTGTGCTGGAGCAAGTGGATGATGCTGGCCCACCATACTCTCCTAATGTTTGACCCCTACCCCAGGCTGGCAG